ACGTCAGAATCTATGAACGAATAAGAGCACAAAGCGAGAAGACTACTACTGGAACTCACTACAGCTATTTGTCTTGGTGTTTTCTTGATGCCAAACGTAAGTCGTTTGAAAATGTCATCGCGCATCTGCTCTCTGCAATGCAATTTTGAGGAAACAATCGTTTGGATTTCGACCGAAAAATTGCGTGTTTCTGTGATTACATCCAACACACTACAGCTGTAAGTCGTGCATTTACGTCCAAAACATTGGAACCGTCGATTAGACGCTGCGGCGACGCTCAAGCTGGCTTTTACGTTAAATTCTGTTTCTTGTCGAAATGCTCGTCCTAGTGGGGAAAAGAAATCAGGAACTTGAAATCAGAGAAAATAAAGGGAGTGGGGAAAAGGGGAACTAACCTGGTTAATTATCAACTATTTTCCACGCGTTTCTTCGGCTGCATTGTTTTCGCTTCCAATTCACTGTTCTTAAGCTGTCAGTGCTAATTATTTAGCATGTATTTTTCAGTTAAAGCTTTCAACAGTCAACAGCGCTCATATTCTAAAAGAATCACCTAATTATGGTGTGCGATGCATGTAAGTTTACGATTTTTTCATAACGATTGGCTATGTTTTATGATTTGATTTTCGCATCCACTATTATATAACATTCTTTATTTTTGCAACAGTGAGAGCTCTCCTAAATATTGATTCACGGGTTTTTCGGAATATTGATTTACTCTTTTGGCTGCATTCATGCACAGAGATTCCGTGGAACCCGCCGAAAAACAGGGCACATTATTGGATGGGGATTTGTCTAGACTGTACGACTCCCCCCTCTTTTTTGGGAATTGGTACGATCCCACCCCTCCGTCCGGCCCTGTCGAGCGGGGGGGGGGGGTAATAGTACACATGAAACAGGAAAATCACGAAAAGTCAACCACCTCTCCCAGAAGGCCAGAAAGTAAATACGACCCTCCCCTCCCAACAACGAGCAAGTACGACCATCCTTCCTTTTATAACGTCCGTGAAGCAGAAAAATCAACTATGAAAATAAAATTTTCTCAGCCCAAATGCGACCCCGTTCTTCCCACGTCGACCGAAGATGATCGCGTGGCAGCCGCCGGGCCGGCCCCCCTCCCGTTTGGAGATTACCCAAACAACGGATGTGGAGCTCGCTGCCGACAGAAGAATGGCCTACGTTATACGATGTTGAAGATTCGCGGGCTGCAGTTCCGCAAGAACGCGCGAAATTGTGAGCTTATCTTGTCAAAATAAACACATGATTGAATTTGTCACCATCCGCCCCCCCCTCTGCCCGGGCAGCGTAGTCCGTCAAGTACACAGCATCGCAGCGTAGTCTTTCAGAGGAATGATTTTGTCGCTTTTGGCCTAGCTTTATCACAGTCCTCCATTTTCTGTCCCCTCTTGAAAGCTTGGCTTGTTTGTCGAAAATCGAGCCGAAGGTCGCCACGTGCACAAATGCAACCTCACTAACGCAGCGTGAGCTACGCCCCGCTTGTTGGAGCGCGTTTAGACTTCGCGGTCGCGCGACTGGTTTGCACGATCGAGTCGAGCGATCCGATCGTGCGATCGCGAAGTCTTGGTGGGACCTTCGGCTTATGAAGAAAACGAGAAGGTCGAGACGTCGAGCCATTAAACGTTCCCATCTTACAACAACAGCATTCTCGTTTGGCAGAAGTGAGTAAAATACACGTTAGCACCAATGCCAGATAGCTTTCAAGTCACGCTCTGTTCTATTCCAACAAAACGGCTATTTTGATTCAGAAATATTGCTTGTTCTCATTGCCGCTGTTAATTTAATTAATCTACCCATATGACCATCATATGATCTATTAATGTACATATTGCTTGCGCATTTACTGAGCAGAAGCGAACGTCGAATGTCATTTGTTGCAGGCCAGAAGAAGCTGACAAAGATTGTTGGTGTTGATCCATATCGCAACAAAGCCCACAACAAATTGTCAGGAGTTCAAAAACGCCCACAAACAACACAGAATAGGTTATTCGGAGTTGAAAAGAAGTAGGTGATATCTCCATTTCAAGATTCATTTTACCTGGGATTTTCAGTCGCAGTTTTTTTTCCAGAATCAGTGTAATGAATGCAAAGTGCAAGATCTGCAAGTGTTCCATCCATCAGGCTGGCTCACACTATTGTCAAACTTGTGCATATCAAAAAGGTATTTGTGCGATGTGTGGCAAACGAATTCTAAATACCACTGGTTTACGGCAGAGTACCGTTTGAGCTACTTCATTGGAACTATTCCAGCAGGGTGGGGCATCCTGTGACATAACTGAAGGTTGCTAGCCCAGGAATTAAGTTTGCCATTGGGGGGGGGGGGGGAGGGAGAGCAGTTTTGCAGAATACGACCTCACTCCTCGAGATTTCTTCCTCTACTACGACCTCCTCCCCACTATCCCTTATCCTACAATTCACCTTCCCTGCTACTTTTCCGGGATTCTTTTCCAAGAGTTCTCCAGTTTTTCCTCGGAAACTGTCGCGGAGCGGGAGAGGGCGGTGGATGGGGATGGCCGGGAGCTAAAAGCGCAAGTGAAACGGGAAAACTAAGAAAAGTCAGTATTTGGAAACATCTCTCAAGAATAAAAGCCTCTTCCCTCCTTCCCTGATCTAATACGACCCCAGCATCAAGTGGAGTGTTCGTATTTAGTCGCCGAATGAGCGAGGGTCGTATTTGATGCAAGACAAGTTTTTTGATAGTTGATTCTTCCTGTTATACGGGGGTCATTCGCATCATTAGAAAAATTCCAGTGGGGGGGGCAAGGGGTCATATTTGCTCGTCGTTGGGAAACGGGGTCGACTCTGCTTTGAGTGGAGGGGCGAGGGGTCATCATTTGCTCGTCTGGAAAGGGGGTCGAACATACTGCTTTTAGAGGAAATTTGCTGCGTGAGATTTCTTACTTCGTTATTGACTTTCGCGATTGTCATCGCTCCCCTCTCCCATTTCCGCTCGACATCAAGTTATTCTAGGAAATGTGTGGAAATTTTTTGGGAAATTTCAGGAATGGTAAGAAGTAGGAAAATTGTAGGATGGGGAAGGTATGTCGGTAGCAGACGAACGAAATTAGGAAAGGGATATGTACTATCCGGAAACTTTTCCCGGCGGCAGGAAGCTGCATTAACTAGAAATCACGCTTGGCCACCACCTTACTGAACACTCTTTCTTTTGGTTTTACCTTTTTTCATTATTTTCTCAATATCTCATCCGGGTTTCGCCTATTCGCCTATTTTACGTGCAACGTTATCTCGAAATAGCCTTTTTTGTATAAACCATGTATTAAACAGATATTCACATGCATTTTCATAGAACAATCAACAAGAATAGCAAAATAAATAAGTCAACAAGAATGTTATTTACGAAATTCTGAGATTATACAACATTATCAATATTCTGATTCGAGTCCACAACTGAACGTCGGTTCAAAATGCTGACGACAAATCCATTTACCATCTGCGAGCTGATCATCAAACACACATTACCCATTCAAAGAAAAAACATCTGCTAATATGGAACAGAAAAACAAACACATGAGCATCGAACAACATCATAAACAACAGACAAGCTTTAAAATTCATTTTGAATTTTACCAACATTTATTTTGTGTTTTACCTACCTTCGTATCGTGTCCTTTCAACTGTCTTAATGGTTGCCATCCGGAACACGACCATATCTGAAATAGTCGTGTCAATACCACACTTTAAGTACAAACTGTTTAACTTTACGAGTGAGGTTTCTAGTAGCCTGGAGAGCAACATCACAAGCAGATGAAGTAGAGGGTTTCTTGTCAGAGATCAGTATTTAGTTATGTAGAGGAAAACCGAGGATCACTTCAATATCTTGTGACATACTCTAGAAGCAAGTCAATACCACAGCTTAAGCTACAAAACGCATGTTAACTTTACGAGTGAGTTGTCTAGTACAGCGAGCAACATCACAAGCAGATGAAGTAGAGGGTTTCTTGTCAGAGATCAGTATTTAGTTATGTAGAGGAAAACCGAGGATCACTTCAATATCTTGTGACTACTTAGAAGATGCAAGATAAGTCGACAAGGCGTACAGGGTGGATACGCCTGGCACGAAGGAATATTGTGCCCCTCGCAGCATGCGCGCCTTTTTCAACCAGGGGCACCGTTCTGGCGCCTAACCGAGGTTCACATGCCGACCCAGACGCCCACTGCAACTGCCCGCCTCACAAACGGCAGCACAATCCCATCCAACGCTGGACCTCTTATCCTTCATTTATGAAAGTAAGATTAATATGACACTGTGCTATGTCACGACAAGTTACAGTCAGAAACAGTACAGAAGCGTCCGAAAAGAATTAGCTCTTATGCGTTGGTGCTCTTGAAAAGACAAGCCATTGGCCCGGTATTCAGAAGGTAAGCTTTAGCAGGATAAAAACCAATTAAAGAAGGCGCGCTTCCCGGAGCCGGAGCTTCTCCTGTTCTTTCCTCTCGCACAAAAGAACTGGTGTCTGTGGAGCTCAAAGGTACAGATCGAGACGTTTCCAATGATGAATATAATGGACTGACCCTCGCGAGCGCAGCCACCAGAGGAGGATTCTTTTTCTCGATTTTCAGGAAATCTTTCTACATGTCAAGCTAAGGGAAATATTAGGCCGTCACAGATCAAGGAATGGTTCTTTCTAGTATACCACTCGCTTGACTCCTGTTTATTGTTCTTCTACAGTATGGACAAGAATCAGCTACCAGTCACCGACACCTCCAAGCGCTTCTTCGCTTCTTCACGCTGACGCCATCATGACAGCTGCAGGTGCCAACATTATGGAGCTGCATAAGGTGATGCAGTTAGTTATTGAGACAACCTTCCATAACGCTAATACTTCAAAGCGGGAGCCTACAGCTTTTAAAGTTGATGACGAAGTGAGGTTCGGTTACTTTGAACCAGCTTGATTGGATTGGGTCGTGAACTGCTAATACTGAAGAATCTGCTTCCTTGGTAAATCCATACGCAAAGCAAGCTACGCCAGATCTGAAGCGATATCGTCCGCATCAAGAGGGAAACATTCTTCCGTTTCAGTCAGCCCTTCAACATGATAGTGTCCCCACTCTTCCACAAAAGGTCGACGCGAACCTAGTCAATAGAGCTGAGTGGCTCTCCCCTTGCACCGGTGTAGCCCAGACACTGCTCCTTCCAAATGCTACTTGCCTTCCGCACCTAACCGTTATATGGACGAGACAACTTTATATGGATGAGAAAACCATACAGGACCGAGGCCATATCACATGTCCACCTTTATGTAGCGCCACCGGGAATTGTGAAGCGATGTATCCACGAGGTGCTCAAAACTAACAAGAACCCCCAATAGCATTGGAGTGTAAATTATTAGATCTGTCGCCTCCCAATTTAAAAGAGCCTTATTTTGAAAAAAAAAAATATGACAGAATTTTCCCACCAACCTAATGTTTTTGTTATCAGAAAACATGTATTCCCCTTCATTGTCAACGTTATTGAACATTTCTACCTCTAATTAGTGAAAAAAGAATATGGAATGATGCGGAGAAACACGTATAACTGCGGTCCGCAATGGATCTAATTCAGTGAAACAGAAGACTCACCTTAAGAGAATTGTCATAACTGGCTGATACCAGATACTGTCCTTGATAATCTGCCTTGATTTTGGAAACCACACTAGAATGAGCTGGCATAGTGTACGTATTCTTACGTATACGGAGATCCCATACTTTTATAGTGTTGTCAGCACTTCCTGTGACCATTTCATACCTAAAGAACAGTACAGTATCAGTCAAGAAGAAACAAGAAGGGAGGGGCGAGGGTAGTTCGAGGAGGGGTAGGCTACGATGCGTGACTGATCTCGCTCGCCTCTTCTCTCAAAATGAGCTCTGGAGAGCGCCAGGAGACAGGAGTAAGTACGGTTTATATCGTAACAATCCGTCTGAGAGTGTCAAGAGGCATGGAGTGGGGGCCCCCTCTGCGGCATTTTCTACCACTGGGTAGTTCATTCCTGACATTCCTGACACTGCCCCGATATCAACTATGAGGCATAAACTGCAAGACTCGTCACAGAAATGAAGCTGTACCGGAACTCACCCGTTAGGAAGCCACTCAACAGTGTACAGCTCTTTTGTATGACCATCTAAAAACATAATACATCGACCAGTACGCAAATCCCATACACGTCCATAGCAATCTAGGCCACCGGTCAACGCCACAGATCCGTCTGGATGAAATGCCACGTCAGCTACCGACTGAAACCTAACCATTTTAAAATTTGGAAATGTAGAAAAACATTCATACACTTTAGTTCGCTGCGGACGATGGGGCGTGTCAGGCAGTATGAATGTATCACACCGTCAAACCCGTTCTCTCAGTTGTTTAAGTGGCTATGTGACAACAACTGGTAAAAAGCGACTGATACGAACAATGCGATACAGTCTTGTCACTTGCTCGCTTTGACATCTGGTGGAGAACGGGTTTGGCACCGTGCCAAACTCATCCCGCCCAACCGTCCACAGCGAACTACACTATAGGTGATTTACCTTTGCATGCCCTTCCTGAAACAGCAATTCTTCACTGGTCTCAACGTCAAACATCCGCCATGAGGAGTCATAACTAGAAATATTTGTTCAATTAACAGAAAGCATGAAAAACATAATTTGTATGAAAAAATATAAATGACGACCATTCGGATGAAAAGCGAGTCGAGACACGCGAGCTTCATGTTTCTCCAATTCACCTATAGGTTTTTCGTTGTCCAGGGACCACAAGTAAACCGTTCCTGTATAAAAAAATGATATAAGACACTTTAGGAACAGCTAAGATCTGCTGATTAAAGAGGTAGGAAATTAGAAAGGAAATGAACTGGAATTGGAAATGGGTAAAACAACAGGTGAAGTAGCAGCTCTGAAATACATCTCCCAAAGTCACCGCCCGGGATTATCGGATGGGCGGGATTAGATAACGATGTCAGGGCTCTTCCTGTCTTCTATAGCGGTGAAGAAGACAGGGGCAAAAGAAACAAGACAGTGGCGTGGTTCCCTTAGCCCACCGACAATCATGTACGAGCCTTCAAGCGCTAGATAAGGTATGTGAAAGAGTTCTCGAAAGGGTTTGATACAAAAGGTTAAAGACAGCCCCCGCGCTCAAGTAGTACATGGTCGTCCTTCCTTGTGCAAGTAGTTCAGCCCCCAAGCTAGAGACTGTCCCACTCTCGCGACTCCACAGTGAGCGAGGAGCGAGCTACAGCCGCTCAAAGTTCTAGTTCTAACGCCCGCCCAGTTGGACCGCCCACTTGCTAGATGCCCTCTGACGGAGAGCCGCTCAGTTGTTCTTTGTTGGGACGGCGGGCATTAATCGGAATTGCATGTATTTGCTGACCGCGCTCGTGCCCTATAAATAATTCGGTTCTCCTTTA